ATACAAATGGGATATTACTAATATACGTGAGCATATCAACAAACAACTTGTATGCATGAGTTCAACTATTTATAACAAGAAAAAATGTATGATAATAGTGAACAATATCAAAGAAAGGTAAGAATCAAGAAAGAGAAGATATAGACAAAGAAATTTTAAAATTAAAATTAAAGTTAAAAATTTGCAAAAATCATACCTAAATTTTTTATTGATAATCACCTTCTTGAATTTATTTCCTTCCTGATGCACTAAAATTTAAGATTTGAAGAGATGATGGCAAAGAAGGTGTAATATTTTTTTGAAAACTTGATTTGGGGATACATCTAAGATGATAAGGATAATAATAACCATCATTATAAATTGATTGCCCATTGATGAAGGTAGCGAGAGTAGGGATACATTAAAGGATCTGAATAGTAACCGAAGGAGAGGGAGAAGAATGGAAATTTGAGACTATTGAGTTTTTGATTTCTGTGTACAAACTTGATTATGTTTTCAACTATTTTCATGAACAAATGAATGATGAAGAGACTCAATTAAAGTTATATTTTATCTACAATATGGTTACATTTCTTTGTTATTTTTCTTTGTTGTTTTTATATCAGATGAAAGATTGTAGTAAGCAACTTCTTCACCCTTGCATTGATGAGTGCCTAAACACCATCATCGATCCTACATGCGAAGTTCAACAGCATGACATGCAATCTCATAATTTTTTTAAAGAAATTAGAGGTTAAAACTAAAATAGATAGGTCTTGTCCTACATTCTTTTACTTTATACACTAACTTATCAATTAAATTATTCATTAATTTGGAGCTAAGGAAAAAGCTAATCGTGAATTTTTTGAGAGAAGGTCAATTATAAGATTCATTAGTTGGAATTTCTTTTTGATAAATAATTAATTGGAAGTTTAAGGGGTTAAGTATGGGAACTTCTCACAAACATTAGTTTCAATCTTCAAGTAACCTCACTTCTCAAAGTATTCATCTTTGGTTTAGACTATAAAAATTTTCTCAAGAATGAGCATGTAATTTAACTCACGTTATGAAGTAGAAGAAGATAAAATTATTTAGATATAACACACATAAAAACCGTGTAATCTTTCCTCACTTACAGATCCTAAAAATTTCCCTAAAGTACCCAAAAATCACATGAGATTAAATTAAGAGACAAAATAAAGTCGACTAATATTTGTCATGATGGATCAGGAGAAGGAAGAAATATATAAACCTGATATGTACTATATCGAAATTCCTCATCATTTGCAGTCCCTGAAAGGAAAAAAATTAGAAGCAAGTGAAATAACAATTTTCTCTAAAGATTGTATACTATATGCTTCTTTTCATTATATGCTTAGGGTATTTATAGCTACAAATAAAGACTATCAGAATCCATTACTAATAAAAAAGTGACTCTTGGATATCATTCCAAAATAACGAACTAACACATAAAGACTAATAACAAAATGTAACTCCTATTTCATTTAGTATGTATTATTATACATTAAATTCGTGTAAACATTCAAGCATGTAGTGGGCTTTGCATACTAATCCACGTCCATAACAATATGCTTTGGGTTATAATAAATGTACCATTCAAAGTTATAGTATAGTTTATAAAATATATTATAGTATAGTTACATAGGGATATATTAAAATATATTTTAGTATACATTCTTTTTTTATGTATAATATACAGTAGATATAAAATTTAGTATAATATAGAGATATCAGACTATGGTAATTATTTATATCATACATTAATTTTAAGTGTACATATTTGTTTGATTATAATTATAATTATAGTATAATGTATAATATAATATAGATATAAAGTTCATTAATTATTAATACCTAAACTTTAGTATAAACTTTTTATACTATAGTTTAAAATTATATATTTAACTATACTAAATATAAGATTGGATGTTATGTAAAATTTTTGAATTTATATAGTTTATGTATGTATGCATGTAGATACCCTTGTTGTCCTTTTATTGGGATCTTCAGTGAGCCATAAAGAATAAGTACCATAAAATTTTATATGAAACACGTCAACATAATTAAAACTATACATTCCAAAGCAAATGATACATAACAAAGTTATTTTAGCATTAAATGATAGACTCAGTGACTATTGCACACAAAGAGTCTCTCTCTTTGTGGAAATATCTTTTTTTCCTAAATCTTTTTGTCTCGGTTTACCCCAAATATATAAGATGAAAAAGAAACAAAGAGATGTGGATAAGAAATGAGTTTCTCCAATTACAACAACACACACCACACTGAAACTTCAATTTAGATAACATAAATACATTTATCCATGCACAGAAGTACTAAAAAATGTGAATGGATGGAACTCATGTCCCAACTTCATCATGAGCTCCTCCAACACCCTCTTTCTCCACCGAAACCTTCATCACCACCTCCAAATCTACATCCCCTTCCTCGATCAAATACTTACCACTACTTCCTTTGTCAGACCCACTATCTTCATCGAACCAACCACAATTGCCCATCAAACCTAACTCCTCCACCTCCTCTGAAATCGTCTCTGGGCCCTACTACCGAAATTGTCAAGCTCGCTACAATCACCTTCATCAAATTCATCTCACTGCTAATACCGAGCTTGCCTCAATAGCAGAAGCAAGTCTTCTAGTATTCAAACTCCCCGTCTTCCTTCAATTTCCTTGCATTGGCAGAGAAAAGAAAGTAGCAGAGGGGGAAAAGTAGAACTATAACACTTTAATCATTTGATTAGACCTAGTATTTATTATATGAAGAGTAGTAAAGGGGGGGCCTAGGAAGGAGACTATATAAGGAGTGAAATAAAACAGCTGGAAGTTGGAGGGGGTCGTGATAATTTGTTGGAGGTATCAAGAGGAGCTCACTTGTCAAATGTGTTAATACACAAAAAGAAGCTTTCCAAACTAATAATTTTCTTCTTTATGAAGTGTTTCCATTAGAGGGACATCAAATTTTCACTCATTAGAAAATCTAAGTTTTGTGGGGACTAGAATTACAGAAGTGTGAACTATTTTCTATTTTGGTTTGTGTCTCTCAGACACTATAAACTATTGAAGCCAGAATAAAACGTTTTATCTATGCCTTTACATATGCACACATAAACACCAAGTTATTGTTAATAAGTCGATTAGATAACAATTAATTTATTAATTTAATTAGAGTTACATAATTAATTATTTCAATTTTTATTTAAAACCACTCCGGATGAGATATAAATGTTATTTGCAGTTGATAAGCACTAAAAAATTAATGTTTAATTATAATATTATACTATTAAAAATCTAATGTTTAATATAAATATTTACTATTATAATCTAATTGGAGTTGCATTATTACATAAATAATAATTCCTACAGTATATTAAAATATCATACACTTGATAATCTAATACTATTATGATAATTGATTTAATTATTATATTAGATTTAGTTTATGTAATAATCTAAAGAATAATTATACTATAGTATAAACATTTAATTAATGTGATTTAATAAAATTAGGAGTTATGATAATAGAGTAAGGGCATGTTTGTTTGCACGGGAGTAATTATGAAGTAGCTGAAGTAAAAGAAGTAGAGGCTACTTCTGCTACTTCCAAGCAAAAAAAGTGTGTTTGGTTCTCTAAAAAGCTTCTTTCAATATTTCCTTAAACGCTTATGTGGCGCTTACACATCATCTTTACTTCCAAAATATTTTTCCAATCCTCAATACTTAGAAGTAGCTCGGAAGTAGTTGAAATGCATATTACTTAGGAAATAAATAATTTGTTTATTAATATTTCCTTTATTAGTTACATTTAACAACTTTTCATTGATAAAATTTCTCTTAATTTCAACAATTATTTTGTAGTAATTTGTGATGGTTGTCGGCCAGCTTTTCTTTGGGATGAAGAGAACAATTTGTCTATTAATTCTTTATCTAAATACCACGTTGATGTTACGATCAAATGAGCGAGGGAGGAGAAAAATTGGAGATTAATAGGAATATTATAGTCATCTGGAGTCTCATCGTAGGCGAGAGGTAAACAATTATTTTGAAGCTATGTGGTTGAAGGATTCTTTTTCCTCTCAAGTGGCGAGGGGTCATAGCGGCATGAAATTGGTTGTAACATGCTAGATCAAATTAAAGAGCATGACATAGCTTTGAAATTGTGGAAGCAACACGTGTTAATTACTTCCTAGTAATATTTTCAAATGTTACCCAAACAAAAAAAGTAAATGAAGATGAGGAAGTTCTATTTCCATTACTTTTAAAAATATATGAAATAAACAAAACAAATGATATTTCCACTACTTCCTACTTCATAGTTTTGAAAGTTACTTCTATAACATTCTTCTTACTTTCAATAATTTCATTATCCAAACGGACCCTAAATTGGTTAATTTCATGAAAGACGAAGTGTATTTTAATTTTTTGAAATAAAAGTTTTTCTAGTACTCCCTCTTTTAAAGTGAGAATGATATATTTGTGATGGAACACCACCGACATAAATATGAATATTGAAATCTGGGACATTATTTACATAGTAACTCGATACTATTGACGATGACCAAAATCAGTGAGTACCTAGCGTGATACTAGTGAATTCGAATCTTTGTGAAGAAGCGATTGTTTCTCATGTACTCAAGTATATCATCACATAGTTCAGATAATTAAACAACATCGAACACTTGCATCTATAATTTAAACAAACAGATAACATGAGACGATACGTGCTCAAATATAAAATGCGCTTACGTACCGCAGATTGTAATATTTTTCTCACAAAACATAAAGAGGAGAGGGCATTTGGGTGTTAATAACTGATGGGCCTCTCGGAAGAGATTTCAGCCTAAAGCCCGTCCAGATGGGCCGGCCCATGAGAAAGCCATTTCTACTTTCGTGGGCCGTATTCCCTAACGCTTGTCTGACTCCCAAGAATCTGCTATGGGCGTTTTTTTTTTTCAGAGAGAGAGAGAGAGAGAGAGAGAGAGAGAGATGGAAGGAGGTGGATGCAATGAGAGGTCCAGTGCTCCATTGTTACCTAGGTTAGATCGCCTCGATGTTCTGGTAATTATTTTTAATTCATCAAACTACTCCCACGAGAACATTATACTCAATGAGTCTCTATACGCTTCTCTTAATTTTTGACGGTACGATGTTATTAATTTCAGATGAACTACGTAGAGAAGAAAAGCAATTTACCAAGACGGAACAATCACATGACGTCTCCCTTCGAGAGACGATGCATTCCCTTGGATGTGGCCCTGAGCGAAGCCCGTAGTAGAGGATCCTTATTGGATCGGGTCGCTTTGCTTGAGCATCGTTTGATCCAGGTAAAAAATATTGATTGTATTGTATCCAAAGATAATTAGCGTAATTACTAGCCTTTAAAAAAAATGTCAGTCGAAATTACATATAATTACCAGGTTCACTGAAAGATGGTGAATGGATACAATATACATTTTATCTAGATGTCGAGGCCAGGGCTCCATTTGGAGAATTGAATAAGGTTGCATAGCATCAAAATGAGTATAATGGCATCTTATATCGAAGTGTTTTGATATGTTTTAAAATTAAAGGAATATTGGGTACGTGAAGAGATAGGAAGTTGACTGGCCATAAATAAATAGAGATATTGGGTGTAAGAGGGATAAACAAATGCCAATAATCAAGCAAATAAGCTTTTTGGTGTTTGGTAGATGCAAGAGGATTAAAGTTTGTATGCCCCAATTATCAAAGCATAAACAATTACAAATTATCAAGTAAAGCTTCAGGTGTTTGGTAGATGTAAAAAGAACATAGTGGGCATGCCATCTTGTCTACTCTCCACAAGTCACTTGAGAGTTATTTCAATTTTGTGCAGAAGTTGCTAAATATTAACGGTAATGGTGGAAAACTTGAAGTTTTCTATGGGTCTAATTACTGCAGATTGTCTATTCATTCCCAATCTGGACTAGAATATAGATTATCAGGCAACGAAGGCATAAAATATTTTATTGTTTGTGATACTCCTTGAAGCAAAACAGGGGGAATAAAACGAGAAACCTTACCATTCTAGCATGAAGATGTTAACTTTTGTTTATCTCTTCTGAGTTAATGAAGTGGAAATTCTCGCATTCTTCCAAACCCGAGAAATTTTCTCTCTTTTAACTAGGGGAAATTTCCTTTTTTTAACATGTCAGACTGTTTATCTTGAGCCATGCCTTCTCTTTCACAAACAATTCCCAACTCTCCATGTTTTTTTTTTATTTTTTTTTATTTTTTAAGGCAGGGACTAAGACATAATTCAGTTTGATGGTTTTGTATAAGGGCATGTTGACCCGAATATTATGTCTGAGATGATGTTCATTTGTGATATGGATCTTTCTGTTCTGAGTTGTTTATTATATTCTCACTACTGTGATCGGGGACATGTGCCTTCGCTTTATATTACTTGACGCTTAGCGTATTAGATTGAGAAGAATGTCTAGTACTTATTTCTCCTCAATTTAATACGTCGACGCGAGCTTGTTCACGTTTCGATTCCCGGGTATTTTAGAAAACGGGGCGTGACAGGTTTTTTTTTGGTGGCCCATGCAGGTCACGGTCCCGATTTTCCACTAGTAAAAATATAATGAACAATTTAGACGCATATCATATTTCATCCATAAGACTATAGTTAGCGCTTATCCTATCATCTAGATGAATTATGTCTTAGTCCCTACCTTATCATTTTTGACTCCGGATCTTCCCACTTTTTCTTGTATCGTAACTTTTCATTGTTTCTTGTCTCCTCTGCTTATGGATATTATTCCATATCTCTGTCCTTGAATTCTTTGTGCATCATTCTTATTTTAAATTCCGAGGACGGAATTTGTTTTAAGGGGGTAGAATGCAATGACCGTGAAATTTTGATACTAGTTAAATAATTTTTATAGTATTTTAAAATATTAAATTATTATTTTAAAAGAGTATTTGTATTTTCTCGATTTTCTAGAATTTTCTACGATTTAAAAGTCCAAAATTTATATTTATTTAAATAATTTTGATATTTATAAATTAACTTAGTACAGTAAAAACTTTTGAATTAATCTGTTGTATTATCGATACTATTACGTATTATTTTGTATAATGCGTTATATTATTATTACTATTACATATCATTTTATATAAACCGCTGTGTTATTACTAATATTGCGTATAGTCTGTTGTATTAGTACAACTAGTACGTATTATTTTGTAGATAATTTTTCAATAATTATTTAATTTTATACATAATTAATTATATTTTTATTAATTATTCTAACCCTAACCCTATATATATATATATATATATATATATATATATATATATATATATAAATACAATAAATAGAGATGAGAGGAGGAGAGAAGAGAGAGAGGCGAGAGAGAAAGAGAGATTAATGGGTATCCTTGTCAAGGAGGAGATTTTCTCCTTATGACGCCTCTAAAATCAGCATGTATGAGCGATATGCGTGAATGGATCGCGTCCGTTGAAACTTGATTACATATTCTAAACCCAAACAGCCAAGTTTTGGGGTGAACCCGTCGTCGTTTGAACCTTTCATCACTTGTATCAATTTAACGGTTTTGAATGAATAGAACTTTTCAGCATGGTCGATGGGGGTCAAACGACGACGGGTTACCGCCAAATGTGTGTTCGGGTTTTGAATATGTAGATTCAGTTCACGGAGCGATCATCACATATGCGCTCATATGTGATTTTAGAGGCGTTATAGGAGGAATCTCCTGAATGAAGATACGATATAATCTCATATATATATATAGTATATATATATATATATATATATATATATATAGTATATAACCTCTCTTTCTCTTCTTTCTTCTTCTCTTCTCTCTCTCTCTCTCTCCTCTCTTTCTCTCGTCTCTCGGTGCTCTCTCTTCTCTTCTACTCTCTCTCTCTTTGCTGCTCTTCTCTTTCTTCTTCGGACCGCTAGGCCACCATCTTTTACTCTCACACCCCTGAGTCATCGCTCCAATCTCCTTTCACATCCCATTCACTGACCCTCTCCCCCTCTCCCCGTCCGTTATTTCGCTCCTCCCGACGAGCCCCTCGCCGCTGTCTCTGACCGCTGGCTCCCTCCGAACCCCCTCATCATCAAGCGAGACGCTGCCATCGTTGAGATCATCTCCTTCAGCCCTCACGGGACCGACGACTCGCTCTCATACTGCGAGTCAAGCCGCACGCAACGCCCAACGCAATGACGCCTTATCAACATGGCTCCCTTCGCCCGATCAGCCGCGTGCTCCATCAGACCTCAGCTAGAGCAGCAACGCCTCTATCGACCACCCTGACAGCTTGAGCACTCGACCAATATAGAGCTCTTCCAACTCCAACAACCAGTTCTCCCCTCAGGCCTCGTTGACCATCGCTGTCGCCAGATCCGCCGATCAACCTGCCGCCGCCCAGACGCTCCGGCTCTAACTTACAACAACTCTCTGCCTCATCGTCCGTCTCTACACCTGGGCTGCAGTCGCTGGCCGATCCCCGGTGCTGGCTCAGTGCCTCTCGATGCCACGTCTACAGGCCCCTTGGCCTCGTAGGCAAGATCTCCAACCTCATTGTTTTATTTTAAAATGTTAGATTATCGTAAAACTTATTAGGCGTAAGATCCCTCTTGCTCATTGACTTGTCATTTTAATATTCATATCTGTTATTATTGATTACATAAATTAGTTTGTGATATAATTATCTACGTCGGATTGTTTGATGAAGAATATTAAATATATCATAGTAATATGATAAATAGCATTTTTAGAATAATTATAATGAATTAAAAGAATTTAGTTCGGCAAAAGAATCATTATTAGATAATTATAATAATTTAAAGGAATTTATTTTGGAAAATGAATTATTTTAGATTAATTGTTAAGAGAAATAATTTAAAATGAATTAATTTAGAAAAAGATTATTTTTTAAATTATGTAGACGCTGTTTATGAATAATAATTCTTAATTTTGATTATCTGATATGCCATGATATTATTACACATGATTAATTGTATTGATTGTTCCTTATTGTGATTGAGAATCGTTAGGAGTTTATGACTATAATGACCTGTGTGACATGAATAAGACCTAGAGGGTTGTGTGTTATTGAGAAATACAAGAGATGTTAGGGTGGGAAAATCTCTGTTCATGTAATCGGATAAGGCTATTGATATATCTTCCAGGCTCGCACCAGTGGATCGGTATCGCCACTAGGGTTGGTTTTGTTGGGTCAAAGTGGATTGATGTCGCTACTTTCGTTCGTGAATTTGATATTCACCCGAGTCGGCTTGAGTTCGGACCAGGCCGGAGTCGTATTCCGTGTAGTCCTACTGGATGCACGTAGGGGATTTGTAAACAATCAGTTATCCGATAATATGAACGTTGACTCTGTGTGAGATGTAAACCAGTGACCTCTTATAAAATGGCTAGTTACATGACATTGTTTCTTGGCTAAGTATGAATTCTTGTGAGATGTAAGTCAGTTGTATTTTTTTTCATACATAGATCAGGATTAATATTTAATTATCTACAATTTGAGACATATGGTATATACGTAAGGGTTTCATTGTTTGGATTATTTCGCTCGACGTACTACGTCTCTTGTTGTAGATTTTTAAGTATTAATTCCATCTAGTTGTATGATCTTGTTACTTGGATGATTATTCTGATCGCTAGCTGCATGATCGACTTGTTACTTGGTTGATTTTCTTAGATTCTTCTGATTATTATATTCTAGTGATAGATTGCATTCAGATTACTGTTTTTGCATTGGTCGTTCGACCGTTTCTATTTCTCTCCGTGGGATCTTGCCGCACGTGTGCATTCACACTCGTTTTTGGATGTTGGCTAATTTCTACGCAAATAGATAAAATATTTTGTATGTTAATGTTAGCCTCAGTTGTGCGTTTTTGGTGAATATCTGTATGGCTTATAGATTGCTTCTCAGACTAATGAGGGGCAATCATGCAATAAATAGAGCTTTCTTAGTCCCATGAACTTTATCAATATGCAAGTTAAAAACAGGTTTAAAAGGATGCTGACCTTCCCTGGAAGAAAACCAAAAAAAAATTAACAAAAAATATCAAAACAAGAAAAAAAAATGTCAGATCCATTATTATCTTTTCCGTGTACTGATTGACATATAGTAGAATTATTACTATTGTTAATTGTGTGATATTTCAAATCGTCAAAAACAGGATGCCTAACACTAAGTTTATGCCCAAGTTCTCGCTTGTCAGTATCCATCATGCTTAGCTCATTTAAGAGTAATATTCGTTTTCATTAATTATGAGAAGCGAGTGTTGCCCCCTTTGTTCAT